CCCCCCCCTGGTCTCTGTGTAGTGAGAAAGGACGCCCGTGTGTATTGCTGCGCGCATTAAAAAAAATACCTTAGCAGTTGGAAATCGAAAAGGATAGCCTAAGGCGCTGCACTGGCAAAATTTGGAGTTGAAAATCTACCAAAAATATTTCAGGATCCTTGCCGGTGCTACGGAGCCAGTGCATTGCGCTGAGATTCTTCAGACTCAGGCTTGAGTTAGAAGTAGAACGAAGCACTTATGGGTTACTACCCGTGTGCCATGGTGTTGATCCGTCGAAAAAACATAAACATTAACATCCACTGACTAACTACTTGATTTATTTAATGATAACTTTAAATATTGTGTTATTTTACAAGTACACACTTATATTTTGCTCTGGCTTTAAAACAGCTAGATAAGAAAACCATGCGTAAGCCACACGTCGTTACATCAACCAAAAAATGGATGGGAGTTGTTAGCCTAAAAACACTTGGAGATATACTCAGGAGGAGACGGAGCACTTATGGTCATGTCCGATGTGCGATGAAGATTTTCTTTAATATGAACTATGAACTATGGCATTGCAGCGAAGTCGAAGATTTGTGTTTTTGGAGGTGCAAAACAAATATTCGTTCTCAGTCTGTATTGTTTACACGGATTCATAGTTATACTATACAAATATTTGACACCATATGAAATACAAATTAGGATCAATACTGGACAACCGCTAATATCAGTAGTTATAATACACAGAAGATGTTATAATTCTGAGGAGAAACGAAGGAACTTTATATCCAAAGGGTCACAAATTGGGCACGCAGGCCCATCTTACATTCGGCCCTTCCAAACACCCGTCTTTCACACTGCAACTGTATTTTATCAATAAGCATGTTATATTTATATGATAATATGCATATTATGAATATCAAAAACAAAAAGAAAAGCGAGGGGAAAAAAACACAGAGACGAAGGGGAAATCACCAAACAGGCACTGCAATGGGAAGAGGGATTCAGGAAACGAATTAGTCTAAGAGAAACATTAAGGTGAACGTTGACGAGAGAGGCCAAACGTGCTGGTCGGGATTATATTCATGATGTCGAAGTGATTGCATGGGATACAAGGGAATGAAGAAATCGTCTGCAAGCCCTGCGTGGCATATAATGGTACAGTATTGCAATTAATGAATGAAATAAGAAATATAGGCAACCAGATTATACCCACTTGTAGGATACAGGTTGAATAGGAGGTACATTCTGGGATAGGCTTGCTGTGAGTGTGTAGACTGCAATCACCAGAGTCTGCAGAATTGTTCTTCTGTAGTCAGCCATGCTTGTCCAGGACGGCTTCCAGATTTGAGGACTCGGTCACCGGTGTTTGGCTTCACAGCTGTGCCTTTGCTGTACCTGCATTGAACATGTTTTAACGTATCTGCATTGAACATGTTTTAACGTATCTGCATTGAACATGTTTTAACGTATCTGCATTGAACATGTTTTAACGTATCTGCATTGAACATGTTTTAACGTACCTGCATTGAACATGTTTTAACGTATCTGCATTGAACATGTTTTAACGTACCTGCATTGAACATGTTTTAACGTATCTGCATTGAACATGTTTTAACGTATCTGCATTGAACATGTTTTAACGTACCTGCATTGAACATGTTTTAACGTATCTGCATTGAACATGTTTTAACGTATCTGCATTGAACATGTTTTAACGTATCTGCATTGAACATGTTTTAACGTATCTGCATTGAACATGTTTTAACGTATCTGCATTGAACATGTTTTAACGTACCTGCACTGAACATGTTTTAACGTATCTGCATTGAACATGTTTTAACGTACCTGCATTGAACATGTTTTAACGTATCTGCATAGAACATGTTTTAACGTACCTGCATTGAACATGTTTTAACGTATCTGCATTAAACATGTTTTAACGAAATATATGAATAGCTAAGTTAGCTGTACGAGCAGTCTATTTAAATTGTTGAAGGGCAAGCGCGATCAAAGGACTTAAGCTTTATTTGAGCGCTCAGTAATAATATAAAATTATGAGTAGGCCGAGCACCTCTCCCCGCCCCCAGTCGATCATTTCTTTATGACGACGCGCCTGACCTAGCTATACATTTATTGTTATGTTATCACATCAATGTTTTTTGTCACTGGGCATCCCCATGCATGATCAGTCCTCCGATGCAGCAGCTACTCCAAGGTACCTATACTGATTTAGGAACGCCCCCTCCCCCTTTTTCTCTCCAGTGTTATGACAACCTTAGACAAGTCGTGCATGTCTACTGGGGTATTTGTCCATTCTTTTCTGTGCCTGACATTTATTATTACTATTGTTATTATGTGCTGATTATTTTAGCAAAAAATTATAATACAGTGTTTGGAATAATATGCAAAAGTATAAACAAATACTTGAAGGAATAACGTCTACACATTGTTAGAGTTGCCACTTACTCTTGTACTCATTTTCCCTAATCCCTCTCCAAAAAAAAAAAAAAAAAATACAAATATGGGCTGAGAACAAAGTGCCTGAGCCTCGAGATTCCGATGCCTTTCAGCTACAGTGCCTTTCTCAAGTGGTGCCTTCAATCGTTAACAAATATTTCGAAAACTATTGTGTGGTTCAACACGAAGTTTTGCATGTGGCCACATAATTATGATTTTATATTTTATAATTTACAGTTGCACAGCTGCTACTGTTTTCATAAATTGGCAAATTTCTTTAATCCTAGGCTAATTAAAATTGTGTATCCCCCCCCCCACAACAATATATATATATATATATATATATATATATATATATATATATATATATATATATATATATATAATATATATATATATATATATATATAGTAAGTGACACACAACTGGTGTCAGATTCGATTCCCGGCACGGTAGCTATAGTTCTCAATTTGTCTGTTGTCTGGTATATCCCTTATCTCTCTGCCTCTTTCTATGAGTGCCAGTCAATACACTGTCTGTCTAATTAATATATTTATATGTGTGTGTGTGTGTATGTGCGTGTGTGTGTGTTTCAACGGCGTTAAGGATTTCCCTTCTGTTTACCTATATGTATTATATCTAATCTAGGAACAACAAAGCTGGAGTGATGCACTTATAATGCTGAGTTTCTGTTAAACAGCAAACTATTTAAAGTAACACCACAAGTAATTGTCACTGCGGCGATGTTTCTGTGAAGATGTAACAGATTATTACAGAGTTGTCATATATTTATCGACATTTCTTAAACTATCATTTAATGTTTATAATACACTCACAGTATTACAGCGTTGTGAATTCTAACCTTAACCTGTCATCTCTGCCGCCTTCCACGGTCTAATGAACGTGCCAGTGAACCTTTAAAATAGCACACGTTGTCCAATTGCCTTGTCGTGACAGGAAGCCAAAAAAAAAAAAAAAGTACGCTGTTTTTCTTTTCCTTTTTAATTGTTCAACTGTATTTTTAACCTAGACAGGCGACAGTCTTCTAGCAAAGCTACAGTACCCAGGCATCATTTCCATTCATTTTGAAAACCAAAAAATTTTTACAAGCAAAAATATCTACATTGTTTAGGCGTCGTCAACGATAATGCTTACCTTGTTGCATGTTTGATGAGCTCTTTGTGTTGTCTTTCTTGTTACCAAACTTTCCTTTCGTGTCCGTCAGTCTGTGGCACGTTTACCGCTTTATTTTGTTGCAGGGCGGCACCTTGTCGACACTTTAACAAAATACTTCCCGCTCTTACCTTCTTTTATGTTACAACTACCATTTAAAGATGAAATGAAACTGGCTCACAAACAAAATCATTGTCAGACACTTAACCATTTTGACATTATTAAAACCGCGCCTCGGTGTATGTATGTATGTATGTATGTATGTATGTATGTATGTATGTATGTATGTATGTATGTATGTATGTATGTATGTATGTATGTATGTATGTATGTATGTATGTATGTATGTATGTATGTATGTATGTATGTATGTATGTATGTATGTATGTATGTATGTATGTATGTATGTATGTATGTATGTATGTATGTATGTATGTATGTATGTATGTATGTATGTATGTATGTATGTATGTATGTATGTATGTATGTATGTATGTATGTATGTATGTATGTATGTATGTATGTATGTATGTATGTATGTATGTATGTATGTATGTATGTATGTATGTATGTATGTATGTATGTATGTATGTATGTATGTATGTATGTATGTATGTATGTATGTATGTATGTATGTATGTATGTATGTATGTATGTATGTATGTATGTATGTATGTATGTATGTATGTATGTATGTATGTATGTATGTATGTATGTATGTATGTATGTATGTATGTATGTATGTATGTATGTATGTATGTATGTATGTATGTATGTATGTATGTATGTATGTATGTATGTATGTATGTATGTATGTATGTATGTATGTATGTATGTATGTATGTATGTATGTATGTATGTATGTATGTATGTATGTATGTATGTATGTATGTATGTATGTATGTATGTATGTATGTATGTATGTATGTATGTATGTATGTATGTATGTATGTATGTATGTATGTATGTATGTATGTATGTATGTATGTATGTATGTATGTATGTATGTATGTATGTATGTATGTATGTATGTATGTATGTATGTATGTATGTATGTATGTATGTATGTATGTATGTATGTATGTATGTATGTATGTATGTATGTATGTATGTATGTATGTATGTATGTATGTATGTATGTATGTATGTGTATGTATGTATGTATGTATGTATGTATGTATGTATGTATGTATGTATGTATGTATGTATGTATGTATGTATGTATGTATGTATGTATGTATGTATGTATGTATGTATGTATGTATGTATGTATGTATGTATGTATGTATGTATGTATGTATGTATGTATGTATGTATGTATGTATGTATGTATGTATGTATGTATGTATGTATGTATGTATGTATGTATGTATGTATGTCTGTATGTATGTATGTATGTATGTATGTATGTATGTATGTATGTATGTATGTATGTATGTATGTATGTATGTATGTATGTATGTATGTATGTATGATGTATGTATGTATGTATGTATGTATGTATGTATGTATGTATGTATGTATGTATGTATGTATGTATGTATGTATGTATGTATGTATGTATGTATGTATGTATGTATGTATGTATGTATGTATGTATGTATGTATGTATGTATGTATGTATGTATGTATGTATGTATGTATGTATGTATGTATGTATGTATGTATGTATGTATGTATGTATGTATGTATGTATGTATGTATGTATGTATGTATGTATGTATGTATGTATGTATGTATGTATGTATGTATGTATGTATGTATGTATGTATGTATGTATGTATGTATGTATGTATGTATGTATGTATGTATGTATGTATGTATGTATGTATGTATGTATGTATGTATGTATGTATGTATGTATGTATGTATGTATGTATGTATGTATGTATGTATGTATGTATGTATGTATGTATGTATGTATGTATGTATGTATGTATGTATGTATGTATGTATGTATGTATGTATGTATGTATGTATGTATGTATGTATGTATGTATGTATGTATGTATGTATGTATGTATGTATGTATGTATGTATGTATGTATGTATGTATGTATGTATGTATGTATGTATGTATGTATGTATGTATGTATGTATGTTTGTATTTAGTTGCAAAGTAACAGTAAATGTTATTATTTTTTAAATATGATACATCGGGGCTATTCAACTGGCCAATCTGGCCCACCAAGGCCCAGCGAGTGGCCCGCATATCACTGCTAGCTGTATTGCATGTATGGTCTTTCTCTGCTGGGGCTGGGGCTTTCGGCCCGTGACGATTCCCATTGTGGAACATTTTGGCCCCTGAGTCAACTTTGTTGAATAGCCCTCTGGTAGCTCATCACCGTGTTAGGTAGCTTAGATTGAGGGGGGGGGGAGGGGTGGAGGGACTGACACTTCCTGAAAACTTTACAGTTATAGTAATAATTGTTCCAAAAACCAGCGGTACGGCTAAGTGGTCCTTAATAACCGAGGGTATATTAGTAGTAGTAACAGCAGTAACAACAGCGGCAGTAGTAGCAACCGCAGTAATAGTGGCAGCAGCAGCAGTAGTGGCATTAGTATTAGTAGCAGCAACAGAAGTAGTAGTAGCAACAGCAGCAGTATTAGTAATCATACGTGTTATTATTATATTAAAATATATTTTTAAAACTCACAAAACAAATACTTCGAAAAACAACAAAGTTATA